GCAGGAGGGAGGAGCCTTACCGAGCGAGCGGGGGAGGGCTCAGTGGTTTGAGCACTGGCCTGCTAAGCCCAGGGTTGTGAGTTCAATCCTTGAGGGGCCAGTTAGGGCTCTGGGCCAAGCTGTCAGGGTTGGTGCTTGGTCCTGCTGTGAGGGCAGGGACTGGACTCCATGACCCCTCGAGGTCCCTTTCAGCTCTATCAGAGCGGTGTAGTAGTGTTTGGCTGGGCTCTCTGAGGGGAGCCCAGGGACAGCTGTCTCTGGTAGGAACTAGATGTGGTGAAACTGCGTCGTTGTTCGATTCCCAGGCTAGGCTAGCAGCACGTTCCTCCCTGCTCCGACTGAGCAGCTCTGCATTCTCGCAGTGAGCTGTGCCGAGCCGAGGTAGGAGTGCTCTGCTAAATCCCTGCCTTTGCCAGAGCCTGCTAGTTAGTCCTGTTTGCGTCTCTCTCCTCCCTGCAGAAAACTTGCTGCGTTTGACACCTGGAGCGCCTTGGCAGTGCACATAGCCATGGACAACACGGTAGTGATGGAAGAAATCAGTAAGTGCAACATGCAGAGGCAAGCTGCGTGCACTGGCTGTCGGGCCAAAGGGAGGAACAGGAGCTTTCTTCGGTGGGGTCCCCGTGTGTGCTCCACTTGCGCTTCAACAAAAGCAACATAAGGACCTTCAAAAATCCAAACTGGCATTACCCTTTGATGATGCAATCCTAGAAATTGCCGACGAGTTGTGGATGCAGCTCAGCAAAAATCCAAGACGTCACAACATAGGAATGCTGCTGCCGATAAAGAATCGAAACACTCAGACCTTCTCGGACGGAAAGTTTGTCCTTCCGCCGCACTTATACTGAGAATGGCGCACTGCACTGCTCATCTGTCTGACCATAGCTGGCAGCAGTTTTAGAGAACTTGCCCGACGAGAAACAGCAGCTCTTAAAATCAGTTACCCAGGAAGGCTATACGGCCTCAACAACGGCCTTGCAAATTTCCCTGGATATTGCCGATGCAGCAGCATGGGCCACGGGCACGTCAGTGGTTATGAGGCAGTCGTGATGGCTACAGATGGCATCCGTACCTAAGGATTTACAATCTAAGGTAGAAGACCTGCCCTTTGACAGAGAGAGTCGCCGTTTCTCGTCGGGCAAGTTCTCTAAAACTGCTGCCAGCTATGGTCAGACAGATGAGCAGTGCAGTGCGCCATTCTCAGTATAAGTGCGGCGGAAGGACAAACTTTCCGTCCGAGAAGGTCTGAGTGTTTCGATTCTTTATCGGCAGCAGCATTCCTATGTTGGGACGTCTTGGATTTTTGCTGAGCTGCATCCACAACTAACGAGTTCGGTTGAGGGCGCGTGAACAGAAATTCCATCCCCTTCGGGGGAACAAAGTATTTCTTGGCTGCCCCCTTACGAGTGGGCTGAGAGGATGCCGGAGTTTGCCATATAATTGCGCCATCGAAGGGTAATGCCAGTTTGGATTTGGGGATTTTTGAAGGTCCTTCAACAGCTTATGTTGCTTTTGTTGAACCTCAAGTGGAGCACACGCAGGGCCATGCACCGCGAAGAAACATCGTTACTGCAGAGGGCGAGTAACTTCCTCACGTGGGTGGTAAACGGCCGCTGTACAAATCGTGGCCGGGGAGTTGGAAACAAAGGGCATCCCCACCCAGCAAAGGAAACCCCGGGGCTCACCTGTGCCCGCTGACTCGGGCCTGCAGGCCTTGGGCTGCTGGGCGGACTTCTAGCCTCGGGCTAGTGCCCAGGCGGTAGGGAGTGTCCCCGGGCTCTGGTTGAGGTCTTCACAGCAGTGCAAGAGCCCTGCAGGCCTGACTCTGCGGGCACAGGCGAGCCAGGTTGGCTTTGCTTGGCAGCTACCCCCAGAGTGGAGACTGATGCTGGTAGGAGCAAGCAGCAAAGCCAGATGAGCATTTTGATCACTTTTACTGTAAATTCTGGGTTGACTGGCACAGCGGAGAGCGCACCAGCCCCGGCACTAGGCGGGAGCTGCCTGAAGGTTGGGGTTGGCACGTTCGTGTGGTGGCCGGGGTGGCCGTCCATGTTTCCGAGAGCTGCAGCTTCTTTCACCCAGCAGGAAGGGAGCAAGAACAGATGTGACGGGAGGGGGGAGGAATAAGCAACATTGCCTTGCACACCGAGAGGGAGGGGCAAGGGAAGAGAAGAAAGCACTGGCTACAGGCAGAGCTGTTAGAGGTAATGGATCAGCTGTTCCCTTCTGAGATGGCAGAAAACTGGATGGCTCACTGCATCCGCAGTGTTTGATTTGCGCCAGGCTGAGCCCCGGCACCGCTCGCCACGGCAGTTCATAGCCCCGCACCTCTGGGCTTGCTGCACCAGTTGTAAATGCGAAACACCTGATTGCGCTCCGGCACCTTTATCAGTGCCACTCAAGCCGCGATAATCCGCCTCGGAGGTACATGGCTGCAGCTTCTTTGGGCCACTGTTTCAGATTGATTTGCATCTTTAGTCTGCAGCGCTTTACTACCAAGTAACGCCAGTTTTCCAGGGAGTGGTAGACTTGGCAATTGAATTCGTAAGGCCTGGAGAAGGGTAATTGGAATCGGGGTCAGAAATTCCCAGCTAATGGGGAAATCTGGCGCTGAGTTGCTGGGTGGTCTTCAGCAACCTAGTTAGACTCTCAGCCTCAGTTTCCTCTTCTGCAAAATGGGGATGTGCAGTGCTCACAGGTGTGCTGTGAGGATCGGTGTTTGTGCAGTACTCGTGCTGGGTTTCCGTCGCTGATGCAGACGTGTTGTGCTCTGCTTCAAGGAGCCTTAGCCCTCATGGACTCTTCATCTGACCAGTCTGAGCGTGGCAAGGCTCCTTGCCAGAAAGCCTGTGCTGCGTGTGGAGACAGGTCCCATGGGGAGGTCCCTGTAGACTCCTTGTGGCTCCCGAGTGCTCCGTGGGGTCTTATTGCAGATGGAGGCCTCCAGTGTTCAGCCAGGGCACTTCCCTTCTCCCTCCCTAGCTCCCCCGGGGTCATTGTGTGGGGATTGCGCTGTTATTGTCCTGGCACCCCAAGTGAGCCCTGTGGGATGTCTGCACAGCAGTAAAGCCATGGCAGCTGGCCTGGGCTGTGGGACTGGACCGTTGCAAGGCAGATGTTCGGGATCAGGCTGGGGTCGAGGCTCCGGGACCCTCCTCCTCGTGGACTCCCAGAGCCCTGGCTCCAGCCTGAATCTGAATGCCTGCCCGGCAGGCTGCAGGGCCATGCGTCCGAGCCAGCTGACACAAGCCAGCCAGCGGGGAACGCTTGGGGCACGTGGAAGGGCTCTGGGTGCAAGGCTGGATGTACAGTTACCTCCAGAACATGCACATGGGCGTGGACTTCTGCCCAGCGCACGCGAGGCGGGGAAAGGGCTCTGTGCAGAGGACGTCGCTCTGGACCCCGGCCGGCTGGTGAGTCAGGTCCGCGGCCAGCATGAGGAGCAGCTAGCTGCTTTTCCTGACGCGCGCTCCCTTTTGTAGGAAGGCTATGCAAGGCCAGTGTCTCCTGGGCTGGGGCGGCAGCCTTCCCTGGGGCAGGGCCAGACCTGGTCTACAATGGGTACCCGGATGGAGCGGAGGTTACGGACAGGTCGCTATGGAAACCATTGGTGCTGCTGATCCCTCTTCGCCTCGGGCTCACAGACATCAACGAGGCTTACATTGAAACGTTAAAGGTAGGCGCTGCTGGGGGCCCGCGCACCAGGGCAGTCTGGTTCCAGGGAAGAATGTTCGTGCGTTGCAAGAGACAGTGTCTAGGTGCCTAAGTCTCCTTGGCAGTGGGGGACCTAAGAGCCCAAGTGGTGAAGTCACCTGAAAATGGGATTTAGGCGCTTCTGAGGATTTTGCCTCGGTCTGTTCTCAGCCCCTCCCGGTGTCTGAACCCAGCCCAGGCTGCCAGTCTGCTCGGCTGGGCTGTGCGCCGGGGTCAGAGCTGGGTGCCACGATCCAGGCGCAGAGCTCTGGGATTCCAGCAGGGCTCGGCGCGGCCGGGCTGGCAGGCTCAGAGGGCCCATGCTGACGTGCTCTAGCCCTGGTGCTGGCCCCGTGGCTGTGTGAGCGGGATGTCTCTGGTGCCTGGACGCAGCAGGGTGGAGGCTGTTTCCCCATCCCTTGCCCAAGAGCATGGGAACAACGTAGGTCCCTTGGGGGCGGCTGCAGGTCCAGGGCAAACCCAGGCCCTGCTGAGTCGTGGGGAGTGTCATTGACTCTGGAGAGTTTCACTCCGTTGCTGGAGGAATTTGGGCCCGGACCAGGCAGGGTCCAGTCTCGTCTCTTCTCCCGTTTCTTCCTGGGCTGCGCCTCTGAGCCTTGTTCCGTCGAGGCCCCGTGGCGCAGCGACCCCCTACGCTTCGCTGTGCTGCTTGGGGGCTCACGTTGCAGCCCGGCAGGTGCCCATGACGGTGACCCCTTGCGCGGCTGCCCACGTTCTCTTGCTTTGCAGCACTGCTTCATGATGCCGCAGTCCCTGGGCGTGATTGGCGGGAAGCCCAACAGTGCTCATTACTTCATTGGCTACGTGGGTGAGTGACCAGCCGGCCTCGCTGGTGCCACGCCGGGGAGCAGCCCAGTCCGGCTTGAGACGCCTGGCCATGCCGGGGAGCGGGCGGCTGGGCTAGCTGTCTGATGTGCCCATGCTGTCGCTTTGTGTCTGTAGGCGAGGAGCTAGTTTACCTGGACCCGCACACCACGCAGCCTGCCGTGGACGCCAGTGACAGCGGCTGCATCCCCGACGAGAGCTTCCACTGCCAGCACCCGCCCTGCCGCATGAGCATCGCCGAGCTCGACCCGTCCATCGCAGTGGTGCGTCCCAGGACTCCTCCGGCTGGGCACTCACAGGGCGGGGACCTGGAGAGAGGTTACCTCTCGTGCCCTGACTGTCTGCATGTGTCCGGAGCAGCCTGCTAGCTCTGCGGAGCATTACCCAGGCCGCTGAAGCTGCCCCCGCCCCACCCCGTTCCTGCACAGCTGTGAAGGCGTGACAGCCTGAGAGTCCAACACTGGACAGACTTGAGGAACCCCTGAACCAGGGGTCTGCCTCTGGGTCGCCCCCGCTTAGCTTTTCTCTGAGTGGGTGGGCTCAGGGGGAGGGGCAAAGGGAGTAATTACCCCAGAGCCTGGAGGTTCAAAAGGGCCGGGGCTCTGGGCAGGTGGGGGAAGGGTTGTGCTGCAGTCTGGGCAGTGCTGAGGATTGGCTGCCCATTCAGAAGTGTGGAGCCAGGACCACCCCCACCTTGCCGGGGGCCCAGCGAGGCTGCCAGCTCCCCGGGAGCATAGGTTCTGCCGTCTCTGAATTGAAGTCTGGCTTTGCCTCCTGCCTTGGGGTGACGTACATGGCCCAGGCCCTGGCTCCGGGGCGCTCCAGCCCTAGAGCAGCTATGGGGGAAAGTGGGGGGTGGGGAGCCCCCACCCGCAGCTCCTCCCTCCCCCTTCCTGCACACCACCACAGGTCATGCAGGAGGTGCCGGGGAAGGGGGTGCAGTAGGAGCAGGCCTGTGGCAGAGCCGGCCTCCCGCCCCCGCACACACGAGAAAGTCGGTGCCTCTGGACCCCAGCACAGCTGTGCCCGTTTGAAATGTCTGAACTGTGCGCGCAGCTGGGCTGGCTCTGGCCCCCTCTCGCTTCCAGGCGGGCCCTAGTGAGCGCCGCAGCTTTGGAGGGGATTGGCCAGAGCAGCCCCTGAAGTAGCTGCTTGTGCTGCAGGCTGACTTGCAATTCGAGCGGGTGGCTAGCAGGACCAAAGCGCCGCCCTGCCGTGCCGCGCCCTTGCTACCGGCTGGGCCCACGCGCCGCGTGTCTGTCACAGACCTGCTGGGCGCTGCTCCCGGGCGTGGGGAGGCGCGGCCACACCCTGCTTTGTCTGTACTGGAAGCCAATGAGGACTGTGCCCTGTTTCTTTCCAGGGCTTTTTCTGCAACACGGAGGAGGACTTTAATGACTGGTGCCAGCAAGTCCGAAAGGTTTGTGCTCCGCCACGTCACTGGGAAAGGGCCGCTCCGGCACATGGCAGCCAGGTGTCGAGCACCCCCAGTTCATTCAACCCCAGACGAGCTCAGCCCCCGCTGAAAGCACCCAGGAGGCTGGCACGTCCGGCTCCCGGCTGGTCTCTAGGCACCGGACAGCCACTTGGGGACGCTGTGGCAGGCTGCTCAGAGAACGAGGCGGGTGGGCCGTGGCCAGGGTGTCGCAGGAAGCCTGCCAGAGGCAGGGAAACCCCCGATCTCCTCTCTCTGTCCTGGGCCCGGCCACCCTCCTGCCTGCCCGGGGGGTGGGACGCAGCAGAGTGTCAAGTTAGAGAAGAGGAAGGTGGCTTGTCAGATCTGTTCACCTCCCAGGCAGACCCGCCCCCCTTGACTGGGGGCACGTTTGTGCTCACAGGCTGCCTCTGTTGGCTCCACAGCTGTCCCTGCTGAGAGGAGCCCTGCCCATGTTTGAACTGGTAGAACATCAGCCCTCGCACTTCTCCAGCCCCGACGTTCTGAATCTCACGCCAGGTAAGGCCAGGAGCCCCCGGTGGGCTTATCCCTTCCGCTTCCTGTTGGATCTGCGCGGTACCCTGGGCTCTCTGCTCCCTGCCAACTGGAACGACGGGGCGCTCCTCTAGACGGGATGGCGACGGCTGGGAGTGATTCCTTGCCTTTGTGCTGACGTGGCTGGGCGGGAGCTGGCCTGTGCACTGGAGCAGCAGCTGCCACGCAGTCCCTGTCTGGGTTTAGTGATAGGCCTGCTTCGTTGGGCCGTGTCCTCTGAGTGCTCTGCTGCAGGGGTGCATGCACCCCAGCTCTGCCAGTCGGAGAAATTCAGTACGTCTGTCCCTGCCTGCTGCCAGGAGGCTCCTCAGCAGGACTTCCACTGCCCGAGGCTAGAGACGAGCTCAGAGGCGTCTGATCGTGGATCGTTAACTCCTGAGAGTTTTGCGTGTTTCTTTTTGCTGCTTTGAAGCCTCCTCCTTTTAGTGTTTGTTCTAGTTCTTTCTCAGCCCTTAGCTAGACAGTCGGCCGTAGTGACTGTGTGTCATTTGGCCATTCCCGCACAGCCACAGCCCTGGAAGTTCACTATTGGAACAGACTTGAGGAACCTATGCAATAGGGGGTCTGCCTCTGCCCTTGGTGGGTGGAGTTTTATCCTGGATGTTACAAGCCACCCGAGAACAGCATTCACTGGAAATGTTCTTTCTGCTCGGGTGGGGATGCGTGACGTCTCCCGGGGCCAGCGGCAGGGGCTGGGGTGTGGCCCACATGAAGCTGCAAGAGGGTGCCAGTCCGCTTTCTTTCCAAAGACTGGCTGAACCCAGCCTCTCTTGGAGCAGAACGTGCTGCGTAGCACACACCCATAAATGTAAATGAGGGTCCGTCTGTGTATGGACACGTCTACATGCAGCTGCCAGATGGTGCCCCCAGGGTTGTGCCACACGCAGGCTGAGGCACGCGCAATCCAGTGCCGAGGAGAGATGGGAGCTAATACACTGTGCCACCCATAGTGGAAGTGTCATGTGGATTGGCCACTGTTGTCGCGCTTAGAGTGTGCGCTGTCGTCTTCCCCCCGCCGAGCCCCGCAGCCAGTCATGCTCACCGCTTCTTTCCATTGGCGTCTGCCGCCCCCAAACTGCCTGGGATGCAGCTTGTGGCTTTGGGGTAAATCTGTGGTAAGCAAGGGGCCCATTCCAGAGGTAACGTGCCCTCTGTACACAGCTTCTTAGAGGGACAAGTGGTGTTCAGCCACCCGAGACTCAGCAATTGCAGAGGTAGGTTTGTCTCTTGTGTCTTTCAGACTCTTCTGATGCAGACAGACTGGAAAGATTCTTTGACTCAGAGGATGAAGACTTTGAAATCTTGTCTCTTTGAAAATAGATAGAAACTGACTCTGCACAGCTGTGGTGTGTGGGGGACGTGGGCGGGGGGAGGAAGTTCCTTCGAGCGCCTCGGCCCCTACTGGTTTTCATAGGTGCTTGCTGACATCCCTGCCTCCCATCCATCCCAGCAATCTGTGCACTGTCTGCATTGGGATCAAGAAACAAGTCACGGTTAAGGCTTCAGTGGCCAGTCAGGATTTCTCAGTGCCACGCCTGGGCAGAAAGTGGATGCAGTGGTGCCCAGAATGTCAAAGGTTGGTTTGTTACAGCAGCAGCTGTGCTGGTCTGACCGGAGTAACAGCAGAACCCCCCAGAGAGCTAGACCCTTAGGACTACACCCAGCGCTATTTAATCGGAGCCACCCTTCTGCCGGGGACGGGGGCAAAGCCTCTAGTTCCTCCCACAGCTTTCCTCCTCCTGGCTGACCTGGGCCATGTAAATGAATCCCAGACGTGCCCCACACGAGTGCCCAGCCCAGAACTACGTGAGCTACTTGCCTGGATGGTCGTGTTTTCCATAGTACTAGGCCCCATGCTGCTGCTCATGCTTTACAGAAGTTGCAGTGCTCTCACACACACACAGTGCTGCCTGTTTTCTCCCCGCTCCCGGAAGCTGCAGGCTCTGATGAAGGGCAGCCTTCTCGCAGGTGTATCTGATGTGTGGCCAGGAATGACGCAGGCACTTCCTCTACACGGAAAGCCTCATGGTGATCGCCACGGTCTGGAACTGACAGCCAAAAGGGAGGAGAATCCCTGTGCGAGTAAAAGGAGGAAGGAAGGAAAAGGACGTCTGGGAAGGGCCCTAGTCTCACTGGAAGGGTCATCAAGGCTCTGCAAAAAGATGGGTTGATGAACACAGCAGGGAGATGTCTTCACTAGAGCAGCCTTGAGAGGCTGAGATGTTCAAAGCGTGAGCCTGATCTCACTTTCAGTAGAAGTGGTGGGGGGGGGGGCCCATGCCCCTTCTCGTCCCTAACCCTCTTCTGACTCTAGAGGCTGCCTGGTGTTGGTAAGTGACGTTTCACCTGTAAATTACTCCTTAAGCTAACAGCTCTTGGTACCATAAAACCACCACAAAGCATCCTGTGCAGCATAGTCACTAGCTACTGCTCCTGGTGGACTCCCTGCTTTCTAAACGCTGTACAAGGGCCCCTGAAATGTAAGGGGACATAGCATTGATTTCATAGCTGCGTGGTTCCATTTCATCCTGTTTTGCAGCTTTCTCTGCGACCGTCCATGCAGCAAGTGCACACGGCAGAGGCTAGTCCAGAGACATCCATTTTAAATGATCATCCCAAATATCAGGAAAAATGGCAGCCTCAAAGTTAATTGTTAAGCATCAAACATAATTGCACTGGAGCCCTTGGAGTTCCTTTGTCACTGCACAGGGGCTTGCCTGTGGCCTGTAATAGCTGTTCAGTGCAAACGGCTCAAAGGAGCCAGACGGATTCATGGAGGACAGGACCATGGATGGCTGACGGGCAGGACGGGCGTCCCGAGCCCCTGGGTGTCAGAGGCTGGGCAGGTGGGACAGAAAATGGTCTGTGAGCCGCCCTGAGGCGGGCCACCCTACAGATACTGAAATCTGCTTTCTGCAAGGCCCCTGCAGCTGGCAGTTCCACGTGTGCAAAGCGTTTCCCTTTAGCGAGCAGCAGCACTTGTGAGCTGATGCCTTTGTGCCCCGAAGGTGGCGACAGCTGGCCGGAAATGATTCCCTCCCTGACCAGACTGACTGGCCCCATCTAGTTATCTGCCCCTAGTCTCTTAGAGCGCCAGGCGGCTTCTGTCACTACGTTACTTGCTGCTTTCTCTCTGCTGCTGTTCCTCCTCATCTCTTGCATTAATGTGAAAGGAGAGGGGAGATGGAGGAAGTGGGGCTGTGCTCCGTTCATCAATGGCTTTCAATTTGTATCTGAATAAACAAACTGAAAATCTTTGGGGGTGTGCTGGTTTCTGCTGCAGAGCCCAAGCTGTCAGGGAAGGGGGGAGGCGTTTTTACCCCTCACTCCTTGTCCAGAGATGCTCATAGTATGGAAACTCTCCTGAAGCAGCTCTACGGCATCTCGTCTTAACCATGTGTTGGGTGGTGAAGGTGGATGGGGCTAACCTGTCAAGAGAATCCAAGTGGTGCAAAGGGTGTCTGCTAGTCCACCCAGGATGCTTGGAAGTGTAGCTGGGCCTGAGCTAAGGAGCCATGCCTCAAACATCGTGGCCTGGCCCAGATGGCTTGAATCCTTGTCAGACTGAAGATAAAGGAACCGTTTCCTGGATTCTTGCTTAGAATATTTTTAGGGTGGGGGAGATGAGACAGTAGCGTGCTCTCCTCAACTTCAGAATTATCTTCCCTTACTGCAATGCCAATGCCTCCCAAAGGCAGTGCAAGCTCCCATAAGAACACAGGGCCTGGACTTGGACTGTTAGTGCTTGCGTGGAAACAAGTTGGTGGCAAATTCACCATCCTCTGCTGAGTGTTAAATGCGGATAGTTTAATAGGGGACAGATGAAAGCATCCAAGGTATAGACAAAATAATGACCCATCAATGTACCTTTAAACTGCTCTGACATGCACACCTGCCAGGCTGCTAACTTGCAGTACCAGCAGCAAAGCTAGACTACTGCCAGCTACAGTGGGATCCCATGGGTGCATCTATGAAACTGTTCTAACATGTTTTCATTTAGAAAAATTAGGTTGCTAGTCCTCATGCCTACAAAGATAACTTAATAGGAAGTGTCTAAGCTAGTCACATGTGAAGTGCCCCACCTATCTGGGGGGATATTTGAAGCCTAAAGAGGACTATTTTCTTTCCAATGACAATAGCAGAGCTGCTATTCCCTTTAAAAAGGATACCGGTCAGCATCTGAATCTTTTCATCGGTTGTGATGTGGAATCAGGCCACTAGAAACGAGGGATGGAATTGGCTCTCTCAGCTAGGTTGGTGTACTGTTTTGACTCCCACCCTTTTGTTTTGGTCCTTTATAGAATAGAGCATTTCTGACAACTGTCCAACCAGAAAAAACTGGCAGAGGCCAGTGCTGCTACTGACATTTTTGCTCTTTGTGAAATCAAAATTTCAACTTGATATTGTTCCTTTAAAAGCCAGCTAAGAGAACCTGCTAGACAAGCGCAGCTGTGGGGTACAACTGTACATCTGCAGTGTCCTCTACTTCCACATGCTGCAACCAGGCCATTTAACAGTCAGCTTCTAAGTGACAACAGACACACCTTCTGTTATATTGAAATACTTACTACCATTAGTGTCAGATGTTTACTGGTCCATATTTGTTAGGAAAAGGACAACAGTGCTATATATGACTGTTGCCATGGGCCCATCACCGCAGTATGAGTCCCTACCCAGCTTTCCATAAACTCATCCTCAGCATAGCCTGGCCAGGCTAAGGAAGTATCACTCCCGGTTTGTAGACAGGGAACAAAAGGCAGAGACCAATAAAGTAACACACTTGAGGTCACATTAAATTTGCAGAAGGGCTGGGAACTTAGGTCTCTGCTTCCCAGTCCTGTACCTCAGCCACAAAGGCCCTCTTCACTCAAGAGTAAGTTACTCTCTCAATAATGCCACAAACTAAATTAAATTCTTTTCAGCAGTTCTCTAAAGGAGAAGTCTGCAATAGGCTCATACTTAAAAGAAATAGTTCCAGTACAACAGGATTTTCCCCATTTTCGATAGTGTTGGATCTCATCAGCATAGCCTCATTTAAGCTTTAAAACTTGATGGCCAGATTTGTGTCTGCTGGGCCAAGGAATTCAACCCTCATTACCAGCTGGCAGACAGGAACTCTTTAGCAGCAGATATAAGGGAGAGCAGCAGTAGTGACCTCTCATGTCAAGCAAGTACACCAGACTAACACGGCTACATTTCTATTACTATGTCAAGCAAGGTGAGCTGTTGAGCACTAATGTGTCAAAGCCAACAGTTAGCTAATAGAAATGCAGCATAAAATATCAGAGCTGACTGGCAGATTTTTTTAAAAGCAACCTACAGATACAAAAACTAAAATCCTGCCAACATTTCAATTTTACATCCAGTCAAGCCTCTTGCTTGATGTAAGAACACAGAAGATGCTATTCTAGAAGTAGCAGCATGGAATCTGGCATTGGCCAACAAGGAGCTGAGAGTCAAGAAAGACAAAACCCTCTCGAAGTGTGGCATGGGGCCGGGGGTATGCTGGGGAACTCAATTCAGTTTAAAGCTTGCTCTGGATTCAGTCTGCAGATCACCTTTCAAATCAGTCCCAGGCTATAGCAATATATCTCCCCGAAGTTCTTAATGGCACCCATCACCTAGGAGGTGGCACTGCCCTCTTTAACCAGCCTATTTAAGTAAATCCTTGGTGCTGTTGCAATAAAAGGCAGTAATTTATTAGCAAGACTTCCATGAATTAAGATTTGAAGTTGGCATGTTAAATAAGTTATGGGATGAGGAGTCTCATGGGCATGATTCTCTAAGATAACAGTTCTCTAAGTAGAAAGAGAAAACCCCTTTTCTTGATTTGCAACCCTACCACCCCCCATCAAGTCCCATTATCATAACTCATCCTGCTAATTAAACAACAGCTCCTTACAATTCCTTGTTTCATACCATTTGTCACTGCTCCAGCACAAGGCTTGTGCCTGGATTACAGGAAGATTTACAAAGAAAGTCTGCATTTATAAAATACATCAGAAGATGGCTTACAAGAGCCAAATGGCAGAGGAGGAGTTAAGATACAAGAAAAGATCTTCAGGGTACTTTTGGTCTATAAAAACAATATTCTGCGATCTAAACTGTGCTCTGCAAGGTGAAGTAGTCGGTGTGCAGATCTGAGATGCCAGTTCTTCCAATCAGATCAGGAGCAGAACATGCTGCAGGAAGAGGGTGGAGTCACTGCCAATGCTATTTCCAGAGTTCTCCTATGGGCTTATTCTGAGCCTCCTGCATGGCCGCCTCAGTGAAAGACTTAATTTCGTTGTGCAACTCTTCAATGCTCTTCGAAGCATCAACTATCTGTTTCCAAAGTAAAAGAAATTGCATTTAAAATCTCTCAGTGCCCAAGACTTTCATTAGCGAAGATAATAAAACAGCGAAGTGTTTAGAAAGGAGAAGTCACTGACTATCTTGGACTTATTTCCATCTGTTCCCCACTAGAGGGCGCAAAACTGGGACATACCAACCTATCTTAGCCCCTCTTCCATGCACTGCCCTGTTGCAGGAGATTCCCTTAGCGCATGGGTTCCCAAACTGGGGGGCATGAAGAAATTCCTGGGGGGTGCGAGGTGACCCAGCCACACACCACTCCCCCCACCCCGTCAATCCCACCCCAAGTTCTGCTGCTATTTGGGGGGGCGTGAGGTTTCTCAAAAATCAAAAAGGGGGGCCTGATGCCAAAAAGTTTGGGAATCGCTGCCTTAGAGCGTCTCTTTACAGAAACAAGTTAAACAAGCAGGTAGTCAAAGGAACCTTACTGTCAAGCGAAACACCAATCTATGTCGGTTAGAATTCGTATCTATTAAACTGAGATCTTTCAGGCCGTCGCTAAGCCAGGAAACTATGGGGGCTTTGCAGAGTTTGGAGAAAAACAGCTGAGTTTTAAATAAGCTGATGATTTTTCATGCAAGTTGCTGCTCAGTCGTTGCTACAAACCTATGGCAATTGGTAAGGCCAGCATGTTGCCAGGGCTTCGTTTAGACAATGAGCAGAACGAAGTGAACAGCTAAGGAACTGTTCCAAGAGATGCAGCTTTTGTTTCTTTATAAATGACCTAATACAGGACAGGACAACGGTGGAGATGGAAACAGGCAGGTAACGAATTCTCAGGTCACTAAATCCAGGCTTAACAGACGAGAGTCAAGCCCAGTGAATAATATGCAATAGCTGATTCAGCCTCATCTTCACCTCATCCACGATTGCAATTTCCTCAGTGTGTTTATCATTTGAGAGTATTCAGCTTGATTGTAAGTCTATGAAATGACTGTGAACAGGCCTCTGGGAGTGGCTACCATTATTCTACCCAGTGATCACTGTAATACCTCGATCAGCTTACATATTATAAGACTACTGAGTGGGGCTGTCAGGAGCCATTTGAGGAACACCTGGCACTATGTCCGTCTCTGTTCTGGGCTCAGTTGCTGAGCTGCAAAACCAGACATTTTGCTGACACGTGAGATTGCAACTCTCACTGAACAGTAGATCCAGACCAAGAAAATGCGGGTCATCCTCCGCAAGAATGGGAAGTCAGGGTTTCAAGGCAGTTGTCCATAAAATCTGCATTTTAAAGTATGTGGTTAATTAACAGTGGTTTACTATAGGCTGACACGCTCACTTGCTTTCTTGACCTAATTTTATATCAAGCTTAATAGATCTTTGTTCCAGTCATTCAAATGAGGAGCTGCATTTCCTCCATCCTGATAATAGGAGACCAAGATGGCATCTGCCTGTGACTGCTACACTGCAGCAGTTTTGTCTTCACCGTTTGATTAGAAGGGTTGGAGAACCCTTGACATTCTAGAACAACTCTTCCTCAAAGGGGGCTCCAAAGGACTAAACCTTGAGATGCCTCGTTTTAATTCACTGGCTCATCTAGCGCTCTCTTGGGCAGTTATTCCCTTACCTTCCAGTTTAAAGTCTTGTCCTTCATCAATTGCTGGTAATTCTGTAGAACTTTCTCCTGGAAGGCGCTGCATTCATAGCGTTCATTTCCAAAGTCCCCTCGCTGTGCTGCCTCCAACACACTCAGTCGAAGAAACACGATCAAATCTGGCTTTGGAAGCCCTACATCAGGCTGTTTGCACCAATCCATGGAAAAATTCTGCCCAAGGAAACAAATAGGAGGCAGAAGAATCAAATCAATGAAAATGAGAAAAGGCAGCTCCAAAAGAGACCAGCAGGGAAAAGGACTTGGGTGTAATGAACAGCTACTGAAGAACGACTGACAGGTGGACCAGAGTCTCCGCTGCTGTAAATCAATGTAGCTCCACTGACTTTGAGGGGCTGTGCCAGCTTTTGCCAACTGAGACTAGCCCACGTACGGGTACTAGAAAAGGCACCCCAAATACTTAACACTGACGGGCAGCCGAGGCTAGTGAGTGGGCCACAAGGCTGTCCTAACTGAGACCGTCTCCCAGGATAGGATGGTTTTGCTAACTGCTACTGCATACCTAGAATCTGTGGGGTGTGCCGACTACAGCATAACCGCGTGTTGAGTGAATGTAGAGGGAGCGCACAGTTCTCCCAACCAGTAGTGTGTGCAGTCAGCACACCGCTCACCTCACGTGCCCTTGCTTTAATGCAGGGCTCCTCAACACATGGGCCGCATGCAGCCCGTGGTGCAGTTTGGGTTTACCCAGGGCTCAACACATAGCCCGCAGGTGGGAGCCAAAACAAAGAAGTCGTCAGTATAATGGTCCTCTGTTGAGATGCGTTTTAGTAGTTCAATTCCTGGACTGTCCTTGCTCATTCAAAGTACTGTCAGATGGGTGGAACTCGGGGAAATATTGCATTTATTCATATCAGCAGAACTGACTGTTACGATGCTCAGAAAATCAAACCATTCATTTGGACGTTGCAGGTGCAGCCTAGTTCTAGATACCTATTTTATAAATATGGGCCAAATGTGCTTTTTCTGCATGTCACTCATTGCGAGGGAAGGGATCCGTCCTGACCTGTAGGCTTAACCGCTCCTGCCTTGATTTCAAGCCATGACTGTTTTTTTCACCCCTCTCACTCTTCTGCATGAGCTTCCAGACTTCAAACTGCTCATCTCCATTGGAAGAGTATAACTGTACAAATCAATTTCATCCCCATACACCTAACTGGTACCATTCCCTGGAATGCCCTCCCAATGAGACACAGACTCTGCCTCTCTGTTCATTCACTCACCTCTTTGGCACTTGTGAAGGCCACTCCGGAAAAGGCGTATCTGTCCACCACTAGAGTGATGCCTTGATTTAACTTTTCTTTAATCAAGGGCCTGAACAACAATAAGAAAATACATGTGCCATTGAGCCCAGGCAGAAATACAACACGTTCTGTAAAAAGGACATAGCAGGTGGGCTATTTTCACTTAGTTGATGCACTTCGCTATAGTGATCTCCAGCAACTGTCTGGGTTACAGGAGTTTGACACCTGAGTGTGATTTTTGTTTTTAAACTCTGTCACCCACAGTCTCTCCATGCTCTGAGAATCTCCCTCAAGATAATGCTAACATGCTTCAGTACACCTCAGCTCTAACCTAAGGCCCTCTGAATTCTGTTCCGCGCTCCCCGTAAGCAAAGAACGCTGGTCACTTCGCAATGAGATGGCTCTGTGGTACTCAGCGGAGGAGACTTCCAAATGCACTTACTCATAGTAGAGCTTTTCACTCAGATGTCAAGAGATTACAAGGTCACATGTTCACTCACAGTGTGATGAGTCTCTTAAAACCTCATGTAAAAAGGCTTTATTCTGCAACCATATTAGGATAGCAGCAGCCAAAACACAAGCAGAATGTCACATCTTCACATTCTTTTTAAATTCTATCAAAGCAATTTAATAGGCACCTCTCCTAACAGTACCCACCGTACCAGATAAGGAAGCTCTTAAGATGTTTAAAGAAAACTTTGACAGCATTTTATCTGACAAGGAGTCACTTAACAGCTTGGGTGTGAAATTTCTGCTTCGTTATTGTTTTGCCTTTAGGATCCCTATTTTTCCATTGGTTATCTGTATGGCTTCTGTGTGTTTACATAATTAATTTTGCTAGGTATAAATCAGCTACTTGGTGGGGTATGATGGTTAAACATGTTTCATAATGGGCTAGGATTGGTTAAGGAAATACTGTTTTGTAAAGTTCTTTAGAATCAACTCCACAGCCCCAAGATCAGAGCTGCCAGACCTGAATACCCTGCTAATTACACTGTGCAGGACCTGGAGTTCCCAGATGACCTGAGTGTGACTGATCATCAGGAAAAGTTTGTCTGCCTGTGTGGGAGTAGTGAGCATTGTATAACGAGGGCATGCATTCTGGTTTGGGGATTGTTAATAAATAGAGGTTAAGCAGAGGTTAAGGATATTACAGTGAGTGCCCCAGGAACTGGGTACGGGCAGATGCCTTTCACCTAGAAGCTTAGGAACTGGGAAAGGGTTGCGAGACCTAAATCAACCAGGTTACACCTTGAGCCATAGGAGCTGGATAAAGGTGGGTGCCCTAGAGTGTGGACTCAAAGCTGTACACGCTCCATCACAACTCAAACAGAGGTATAGTTACACTTGTTCCCAGCGGTTAGCAGAGAAAAGCAGATGCACTGTGTGGTCCTCCAGATTATTCTTGTTCTCCAAGTAGGAGCTAATTAGCTTCCCAATGTCTGTTGTTCTGTCTGTAAGAGAGAGTGCAAGAACAAATGGGGTGAGTCATGCAGTCTCTTGGTCCAGTTACCATGCAATAGGACTTTAAGATTAACCCCTTACACAAATGCAACTGAACAAATACTTTAAACCCAAGCTAAAACCAGGCATGCTTGGACATATGTGCCACTACTATGACAATCCAACAGTCTGATTTTTGAAAACTGCTATGCAAAGTTGCACTGTAAACAAATTCAAAACCAGGGCGTGCCCTGATGTAGGAAGCAGAATCTCAGCCTGAAGGGCAGAGTAAATATCAGAGAGACAGAGAGGAGTAAATGCACTAAGTGGAGTAAGAGGGCAGAAGAGCCTCGTGTGGCATCCTGTCCTTCCTAGTGCAGCCACGTTCCCATGCCCGGCCTCACTGTGACCAGCGAGGGACCGTGCAACACGCCCTGGCAATGCAGCTGGGGCACCAGGGCTACACCCCTCAGCGGGTCAGTGCCCCCCCC